TTGTAGGTCAATGGAAATCATTTAGTTGTAGATTTTGCCTTAGTGTACGCAGTCCAAAAGGGTTTATATCTCAGTAAAAAAAATATTTATCGCCTTGCGTCTGTTCTCAAGAAGCGCGCAAACGCAAGAATGCAAAAATGTGGTATTGATTCAAGAGATTAACCGTCTCGAAGCAGAAATTCAAATCTTGAACGATATTTTACGCCGTGTTTTTTGAGGTCCGAATAGCTGCACGGTGGCGTGTATTCTCTGGGAATGTGTGGGTCACGTGCCTGTTTTCTTTCTTTCTGCCTTTCTTTGTATTGCTTTCTTTTTCACTCTCTCCTTTTCTGTTTATATATTATTGTTTATTATTATTATTATTATTAAATCATGCTATTCTTGATATTATTGTCATTTATTTTATTATTGATTATTATGATATTATTGTTATTTTCACTAGCATCGGTATTATTATTATTCATTATTCTTATATTATTATTATTATTATTAATTATCATTAATGTTGTTATTATGATGATGATGATGATTTGTACTATTATTGTTATTATCAAACTATCGTCATTACTTACTGTATAATTGCCATCATTGTGAATCGTACAACAATTACAATACCATCATCAGCATTGTATTTCCTCCATTTTCGTTTGTCAGCTTTCTGCCTCGAATATTTCTTTTTAACACTGAAGATGACATAGACAACCTGTTATACACCAATAACCTCGCATGTACCAAACTTCGTCAAAATAATATCAAACAAACAGCAGATTTTAGAATTTCCTGAATTGTCACAAATACGACACAAGGAGAGAGAGAGAGAGAAAAAAAAATTAAGATACTTTTGTCGGTTATTTTTTGATCCGCGCCGGTCTGGAAGCGACAGCAGGACTGGCTGCGACTGTTGCTTTGATAGTGATGATGATGTGATGGTGGTGGTGGAGGTGATGGGATGGTGGTGTTGATATGGTGATGGGGATTATGATGATGATGGTGGTGGTGGCTAATCAGTCTCTTGTTGTGGTGATGACATAGCGACAGATCGGTATGTTATGATGATGATGATATAATGTGTGATTTTGATGATGATGACTAATCTGTCTTACTGTAATGATGACGATGAAAATGCTACTCATAGTGATGGTTATAATGATACTGATAGTACCATTGATAGTGAATATACTATTAGTTACGGTGATGATGTTGGTATCAATGATGATAGAGAGAGCATTTTTTATGAAGATGGGCATTATTCGAATCATAAACGTGATGGTGGAAGTAATAGTGATAGTGATTATGATACCAACGGCTGTGACGATCCTAATGATTTGAAATTCAGTGATATAAATAGATTAGATAATTTAAGAAAAAAATGAATTTGGTGATGATTATTTAGCTGTAATTGTAATGCGAGTAAAAGTGCTTGGATTGATCGACAAATCTCGAGGTAAGCAAGGAGTTCCTGAGTGGTATCAAGTTGCAATAACGTGACATGGAAAGTCGAACGTAAATTCAAAGTTTTTTATGGATAATGCAATGTGTGTGTGTGTGTGTGTGTGTGTGTGTGTGTGTGTGTGTGTGTGTGTGTGTGTGTGTGTGTGTGTGTGTGTGTGTGTGTGTGTGTGTGTGTGTTAGGTTGATGTGCGTGGTATTTTATACGTTACACTAAGTATTTAGTAAATATTAAAAAAAAAACATTTTTCGAATCGGAACAGTGTGTTTGTCAGAGTCCTTGTTAAATCAATGTTTTTTTTTTTTCAAAATAATTGGAGAGACACACTGCCTAGAGCTTTAAAAACATGAAAAATGAAAAATGCCGTGAAAAGAAAAATGCAAAATCGCAACTAACACCGGAAGGCATTGATCAAAAGCGAAGCAACACTTTTCTTTTCAAGTTAAAAGAACGGATACGATCTCAGCTCACTGTCGAGAGATGCAAAGAGGTTTCTCGTGGAAAAAAATGCAAAAAGAATTCAGCTTTCTTCCTTGACAGCGGCAATGGTTCGAGTGAGTGAGAGAGGGAGAGATAGGGGACGAGGAGGCAGAAGAGGAAGAAAAAAGATATTTACGATGTATAATGAAGAGAAGATGTATTTTTTATGCCGGTTTATGGTGCTCGCGGAGTTATGAAGGCATCAAAGGGAGATTGAGTATAAATTTATAAAGTAGGAAGGAAAGGCAATAAGGATTTTTATTATTAATATAAGAACCTGCATTGCGTCAACAACTTGGCCTTGTAAAGCAGTCTCTTCGGTGATGAGAAAGAGAAAGTAAAAACGTTTTTAGGGACTATTAAAGGTGACAGAGTATAAGGCGAAGTCTTTGTTACTTTCTGTGCATTCTTTGTCGATGAAACGATGTCGCTGGAATAAAAAAGCATCGCAAAGTGTAAATTGATATGGAATAAACAAATAGTTCGCTGTTGTATGACAGTGAAGGATAGGCCTAGCCTTCAAATCATCATCCAGGGAGTTGAAAAAGAAGAAAAAAAAACTTGTATCGA